ACTCTGGCTGAATGATTGCTTCATCAAAATCTGTGGGTTCTGCAGCAACTAGAGCAAAATCACAATTTTCATTAATATCAACCAATGTTCTTACTCTGCGTGGACGGGATTCACTTGATTCACTTGATGATGATGAAGGAGAACTTTGGTTTCTTGAGGAGGTAGAAGAGCTGTGTGGAGTTGAGGGAGGGCTAGGCTGTATAGGATCATCGATGGGTTCATCAGTTTCCTCTATCCTTCTCAAGCTTCCATCAGTTTGATTGGCTTGACTCCAATCCCACTTTGCATCCTCATCAAATACTACATTTCTGCTTATAACCACTTTACTTGTGAGTGGATTATACAATCTGTAAGCCTTTGACTGAGTTGAGTAACCAACAAAGATGCACTTCTCAGCTTTAGCATCCAACTTGGTTCTCAGATTCAGCAAGGTATAGGCAATGCACCCAAATGTTCTTAGGTGATTGACTGAGGGCTTCTTCTGTCTCCAGGCTTCAAATGGTGTTGAGTTCATCACTGCCCTAGTAGGTGAGATGTTAAGAATGTAAACAGATGTTGCAACTGCCTCACCCCAAAATGAGTTAGGCAAACTTTTAACCTTCATCATACACATAGCCATTTCAACAATGGTTCTGTTCTTCCTCTCAGCTACCCCATTCTGCTCAGGGGTGTAGGGTGCAGTGAGCTCTCTCCTTATGCCATGATCATCACAGAATTGGCTGAACTCTTTGGAGACAAACTCACCTCCCCTATCAGTTCTTAAGGCTTTCACCTGCAGACCACTTTGTTTTTCTACCAAAGCCTTGAATTTTTTGAAGTTTTCAAAAGCTTCTGACTTAGACTTTTGAAAATACACCCATGACATTCTACTATAATCATCTGTGAGTAGAAAGAAATACTTACTACCACCCAGAGACTCAGTTTTCATAGGCCCACAAAGATCAACATGTATCAGCTCCAAGCACTCACTAGCCCTCCAAGCCTTGCCACTTGAAAATGAACCTCTAGCCTGCTTCCCATACACACACCCTTCACAGAATTCCAATACTCCAATGCTAGGCAGTCCATGCACAAATTCCTTTGAGCTTAATAATTGTAGACTGTGATTATTAAGGTGACCATACCTGAGGTGTCATAGCTTTGTATTTTCATCTCCATTCACCACAAGAGCTTGTCCTGCATTTTTGGTTAGGTCCAATGGAAAGACCTTGTTCTTTCCCATTGGTATCCTCATCAACACTTCACTTTGCTTGTTATCTTTGCTGAGACACATACCATCCTCAAACAGGATTTTATAGCCACCACATATGAGTTGACCCACACTTAATAAGTTATGGGCCAGATCAGGAACATACTGCACATTATGCAGTAATTTGGGCCTTCCTTGCTCAGTTGGAAGATCAATTGTTCCCTGCCCTTCAACTGAAAGTTGTTTGCCATCTCCAAGCCTCACCATACTCTTCTTAGAGTCATCTAGGTCCATAAACATGTCCCTAGAACTGGTCATGTGGTTTGAGCAGCCACTATCCACATACCAGACTGATTTTGCTCCATAATCATAATTATGTTGAGCAAGGAAAAGATTCTCATGTTCAGCATAATTTGACTTGCTCTCATTTCTTCCTTCTCCCTTATCCTCTTCTTTCTTCCAACATGAGGCCTCTTTATGGCATGGCTTATTGCAGTAATAGCATTTAATGGGAGGTTTAGAACTGCTCCCAGATGGCTCATCCTTTCTCTCAGGAGTATAGCCTCTGCCTCCTCTGCCACGACCTCTACCTCTATTGCCTCCTCTACCACGACCTCTTCCTCTTCCTCTTGAAGATTTTTGACTTCTATCATGGGGAGAGGTATCAACTTTTGCTTGAAAAGATGTTTCATCTCTTTCTTCCTCTTTGTCTTCTCTTTCTTCATAGGCTTGCAGTGATCCTTTGAGTTCATCAAAGGTATACACATCCATATCTTTGGATTCTTCTATGGCAGAAACAAGGGGAGTATACTTCCTTGAGAGGCTTCTAAGTACCTTACTGACCACTTGTTTGGTCTTAACCTCCTCTCCATAAGTTCTCATTTGCTGCATAGTATTTTTGATCCTGGAGAGGTAATCTTGGACTGATTCCTTGTCTTTCATCTTGGAATTCTCAAATTCCCTCCTCAAGGACTGCAGCCTGACTTCAATGACCTTCTTGTCACCCATGTACTCCTTTTTCAGGACACTCCAAGCCTCCTTGGATGTTGATGTTGCTGCACTCCGGGGAAAGACCTCATCATCCAAAGCTTGTTGGATGAAATAGAGAGCCTTGGCATCCTTCTTTCTCTTATCTCTCGGGGCTTTATCTGGTTCCTCCGTTTGACCATCTTCAAACCCTTCATCAACAATGCTCCATAGCTCTTGAGACTTGAAGAGAGTTTTCGTCTTCAAACTCCAAAAGTGATAATTAGAACCCTTAAACATAGGCAATTGGGAGATTGAGTTCCCATTGCTATTACCACTCGCAGTCTGCATTGTTTCACTCTTTCTCTCCTTTTTTTATTTTGATCCTTACAATTTAGGCCCTCGGATAACTCTCCAGCTCTGATACCAAATGTAAGTTCAAGCTATACTAAAAATGATTAACAAGAAGACCAGAATTCATGAACTCACCATATTTGTATTGAAGTGAAAACTAGCCTTTATAGGCTTTACAATGATAAAGAAAGTGCTGAGTGAGGCCCTTAACTAACTCCTTAGTTTTAGGCTTATCCCACGTTCAAAGAAAATGCTAACAAAAAACTGGTCATGCTCCTACAATTAAGCCAACAATAAAGACTTATTCAAATGACTCAACAAACAAATAAATAAGTAATTAAATAGATAACTTCCACGTGTGCATGGTTGTAAACTCGTGTGTATACAAGCTTTATCACTCATTCAACACCAAGTACGTGCTACAGTATGTCAGCCCTTAGCTTACTTCTTCGACGAATGCTGATCTACGCTTACTTAACAAGAGATCTCTCATGCCCTTAACAACAAATGCAGTGCAATAACACGATACTCGGCCTGTTATGCAAGCATGCAACTTGATCATAGGCCAGATGCTGACACCTACGGATGCGCCAGATCTGGTTTGACATCAGCTGCAATCCATGTGGTTGCCGACCAAGTTTTGGCTCAAACCAAAATGGGATTCAATGTTAGCTCGATGAATGAAAAGTAAATACAAGGTCAAAAAGGACATTTTTGCAATTTCACCAAACATTACATTATAATCCAGGATGTGTCAACAGGGAGAACTCTGATTGATTGGACAAAGGTCCATCAGGTACTCCTCACTTGCCTTTGCTCCAACCCTTCTTTCTTTTGAACCCACTTCTTTCCATCTTCTTCCTCCTTTCTTTTCTCTACCTCTTCCACTTCCGCCTGCATGTCTGATCGTCACAGGGCTTCCTTGTGGGAGGTCGGGGTTGTCGTATGAATTCTTTGTGCAGTTAACAAAAAGATACTGTAGTAGAGTGGAGGAGGCATTTCGTGCATGTTTTAGGATTATGAAATGGTCTAGGGTTCGAATCTCATCTTTGTTAACTTGTATATTTTGCTTTACTTGTGTCTTTTTTAAGCTCTAAATTAGTTTAAAAGACTTTAAATAGTTGTATTCAAATTTTGGTGATGTACTGGCACATGGGTAGGAATCACAATTTTGTTATGGAAGCTTTCTCATCAAATCAACACATCATATTTAATTTCTTGCCTTTTGGTTTCATAAAAAATTTCATTTGATCTTGTATGTAATTAAATTTGTGATTTCTGAGTTTGCATTTCAAGATATTATTTTCTAGGATAATATATATATATATGTAGTATATTTTAGTTGGTGGATGCAACATCTTTCGGAGACCTTCGCTTTCTCATTAAGTGCCCCTCCAAGGTCCCCGAGCTAGTTCTGCCACTGGTTAGATGAACGGATCGGGAATCCTCACATCATGGGTGGGGTTAGCCCCACCATCCACTACTCTTCTCTAATCATCAAGACGCCTCCTAAGTTCGTCCACATCTCGATCGGCCTGACCGCGAGCCTGAGGAGTATGGTCTCTACGATCCCACCGTTGTTTGGGAATCTCGTGTCTAGGACCCCCCATGTGCACTCCGACAGTGGGATGAAATGGCTGATGAGGATGCCTCTTCACTTCTCTCAATTCGGGGGGAGAGTTTGTCATGGACAAAGACTCTCCTTTCCCCAATACGGTCCATCATCGACGCCATTGGCGTTTGATGGGAATGATTCGACATTTGGAACCATTGTGGGGGAGAATTCCTCTGGCAGTGTGCTGATACCGCCTCCACCGGCTCCTGGTGTGGTATGGATGGCACATGATTGGGAGAAGGTTGCCTCTCATCCGTATTGGGAATGATTCCTTGGACGGCCGTGGTCAGGGTTTCCACAACCCACTGAAAAGTCGTCAAACTCGCCAAAGCTTGTGCGGGATCATCGTCTGGAACGGGGTTCCCAGTCATCGGTGTTTGAAAATGTGATGGACGAGTCGTAGGGTGCCTAGAACTCCCCATGCCGTGTAGACCATTCCTCATATCACCTGGCGTCATCACGTTGTCGTTTCTCCTACGGAAAATGTTGCGTCGTGAACGGGGTCCTTCATCCTCAATCACGACTTGGTTCATGCTTGCATCGCCTTGGTTACTGCCATCACAGTTGTGGCCGTGTGATCCAACCATCGTGTCCGTCGTAAATCGGCTCTGAACAAGAACTTCAAATGATGGAGTTTAATTCCAAGTACGAGAGTTGATCTACGAGGATAGAGTATTTTAGGCAGCGTAAGAGACGCTTTATCATTATTCAGAAAGAAGCGGATTCCTTTTAGGGTATGTACAAGAAGTATTTAGAGACTTAGAGGTATAGTAGCCTAAGGAGGTATAACTGGTACAATTAATAGATCTAATCATGATAGGACTCTTCTAACATATCACATTATTCCATAATTATTACTCCTTTATGTCCATGTTTCTTGTGTTAGATATATGTCACTGCCAGATAGGTGAGATAGCTATGCACAACAGGCTATCCGACCTCGCTAGAATCCCGCCCACGCTCGAGGTCTGCTTCGTACTAATTTGCAGGCTAGTTTAAATATATACGAGTTTAAATATATACTCGTATATTCACATATAGTCCGTACTTGGGCCATGATCACAGTCCTTGGTACCATCAACTTCAATCTTACTTATTTTTTATTATGAAATATTACCCGAAATAGGACTAAAACAGTTTGAAATTTCCAAAATAGGACTGTCATGTTTTTATTCCCAAAATAGGACTAATTACTGCCATGTTTTGGCAGTACCAGACTTCAAACATGGCAGTATTTTCTAAACATGTCAGTAAATAGTCCTATTTTGGGAATAAAAAACATGACAGTCCTATTTTAGAATTTTGAATATGTTTTAGTCCTATTTCGGGAACTTTCCCTTTTATTATTACATAATTTAACGCGCAAAATCAAAAGTTACTATTTTTGTACAAAAAAGTACGAACTAGTCATCATGATTTAATATTTCCTGGTTTTATTGTATAAAAATTATTAGTTGAGTTTTCAAATATGATACGAGGATAAGTTTGAGAGCTTCCCTAATTCGAATACTAACATGGAATGGTGTCTTTGATATCAATCAAATATTCAAAATTAAAAGGGGAAGAAGAATATGGGACATTAGTCTGTATTTCATGGATAAGGGTCGACCTGGTTCGGCAGTCTGGCCCGATCCAGAACCGGGCACCGTTTGGGATCGGATCGTGTCCATTTTTCGAGTCTCGGTTGAAGACCGGGTACCCGACCAGGTAATCGGCAGACTGGTGGTTCCGGGCTCGGGACCGGACCTCCCTGGTACCTAGAAGCAGCCCAAACCCGTAGCACTGACTGGGACCGGAGTAGGATCGGGTCCACTCCTAGTCATGGAAATAGTTTCCATGAAGTTGAAAAAAAATTAAAAACCCTCCAAACAAGGTACATTTGGCCTGGCTAGTATAAACATATACAGATGTGGTGAGTAGGTGAAGATGCATTTAAGGGTTTACGGACGTGTGGATATGTATGTATGCAGTTGGATCCATGTTTTATTTTACAATAATAATGAATTGATTGATTGTGTAAAGATGTTGATGGCACGCATCATCCAAAACTAGGCTTGAATATAATGGGTGAGGAGCGGCGAAGCGTCACGCTCGCTTCCAGTGATGATCTTCGTCTCATGAGATGGTGATGGATGGGTGCGGAGCAGGATTTGGAGGACCTGTTTCATGGTTGGCCTTGCAGAAGGGAAGGTGGTGGTGCAGAAGACCCCAAGTTTGAACACATCCTCCATTTCATTAATGTACTGCGGCTTCTTGATGTTAGCATCTAGCACATCGTGTATGGCCTCCCCCCCTCGGACGTGTTGCCACGCCCAATCCGCCAGGCACATCTCCTCACTGCCGTCATTTGCTTCCCGTCCTGTAACCAGCTCCAACAGGATCACACCGAAGCTGTACACATCGATCTTCTCATTCACTTTTGTTGTGTGAGCATACTCTGAAACGCATCATCATCATCATCATCATATAAGTAACCACTGCACACCGTTGATGATAATATTCTGAAACCTCCGGTAATGGTGTTGTTTTTTTTATGATAAAGTTGTTGTTTTATTATTATTATTATTATTATTTAATACAAGGGAGAAATGATACATGCAAATGTTATAAAAATATGCCAAATTTTGCAATAAAAATATCCTCAACTTTTATTTTGTCTGTCCGACACACACATATGTGTATATTAAGGATTACATACCAAGTCTTCCTACCTTATAAAATACAAATTAATCATGTGTGTCCCTTATACATATCTATCTTAATGAAGAGAATGCCAGTTTTGATTTGGTAGTTGATGGTGTATTAGTCTTTTAGGTTTATTTTATTTTTGGAGAATTAGAAAAACAAATTAATCATGTTGGTCTCCCTCCAAAAACTGTTTCTTTCCATATCGTTTATTTCGACATAAGAAGGACAGATGGGATTATGCCATCTCCATCTCAAAGCTTCATTTCATCTTCATCTCCGATCCACTTCAACACTGTGCTTTGGTTATTCAGTCCCGAATCTCTCTCTTTGGCTTACACAACTACTTGCTCTCAACTCGTTCACCTCCATATACATTGAAACAAAACTTATGTCATCTCCGTCTCAAACTAGTGCTTTGTGACAGACATAATGATATAATCATATAAAACTTTAAACGATGTGTTCAAACAATTCTAATCTTCTTACGTTTTTAAATATTAGTTTTATAGTATGTATTTTATCGTCGTGTGGTATGCAAATTATAGTAGTGTTTTTTACATTTAGAACATGTTCCTCATATACTTAAATTTCATATGCATGTCACTTGAATATATAATGCAAATGTCATAATAATAAGATGCAACATATGAACTTAATTGTAAAATCCACATGTCATATTACTGAAATGCCATTTATGAATTTCGAAATGCACATGTCAAAATGCTAACTTATGAAGTGTAACAATTATATTAAAACAATTGACTCTATACATATTGCTCATGTCATATGACTGAAGTGTAGCATATGAACTAAGGTATATATGATGCAAGTACTCAGGAGTAAAGGTAATGCACTACTGAATTCATAGATTTTTTTAAGAGATAATGTACTACACTAATAAAAGTTGAGGTCTGGTGGTACATTTGAAAATTTGACCAAGTAAAAATTCATGATTCAATAAACATTTAAATGTTTGTATAGCCATATGTGTATGTGTGTGTGTGTATATATATATATAGTTAAAAGCTTAATTAAATCTTTAGTTGAAGTGGATCGCGTCAATTGGTAATGGAAAATAAATTTTCTGTATCCCTAAATTAGGCCGGCATTAATGTATGGCGTAGAGTGTTGGGCGGTGAAGCAATGCCACATTCAAAAGATGAGTGTGACAGAGATGCGTATATTGCTTTGGATGTGTGGACATACCAGAAAAGACCGCCTGAGGAATGAGGTAATCAAACAAAAGGTGGGAGTAGCACCTATAGAAGATAAGATGCAGGAGTCTCGTTTGCGGAGGTTTGGGCATGTGCATAGAAGACCGAGTGATGCACCTGTTAGACGACTTGAGGGTGGGGAGAAGAGTCAGAGAAGAGAGGGAGGGGAAGACTCAAACAGACTTGGATTAGAGTAATAAGAACTGATATGCGTCTTCTTGGGTTGGATGAGAGTATGACTTTGGAAAGAGCAAAGTGGAGGGCGCACATCCATATGGACGATTGATGTCTTGTCTACCTTTCCTCTTTTAATTGTTTTATCGGTTATCTTCCTTATCATTTTATATTCTTATGTTATTTTTATCTTCTAGCTTTTTTATGCTCTTTTATTTATTTTCTTTTATGTTGATTATATTTTTGTGTTATTGTTATCTTATATTTATGTATCTTTATTTTATTCATTTTATCTTTTTTTTTTCTTTTTCTTGTTCGCCTTCTCTTTTTGGCATCGATCGATATCATAGATAGATTCACTTTAGCCGACCACAAATTCATTCTTTTGGGATTTAGGGATGTTCTTGTTGCTGTTGTATCCCTAAATATCGGGCAACACAGTTTGCTTGTCTAAAGTTATATATCCGGCCCCATTCTCCTCCCTTATATATGTGCAACAAACAATACAATTTGAGGTGAAATTGTTGATTAATTTAGGGAGAGGGAGAGGGAGGGAGTGACTGACCGGGAGCAATGTAGCCGAAAGAGCCAGCTGCTACGGATGAGAGCGTGGTGTTGGCTTCCCCGTGCTTGAGCAACAGTCTCGCCAGACCGAAATCTGCAAGCTTGGCATTAAACTCGGAGTCCAATAGCACGTTGCTTGATTTCACGTCTCTGTGGACAATGGGCGGGGAGCAGCTGTGATGCATATAGCAGAGGCCCTGGGCAGTTCCGATGGCAATGCGCAGCCTGGTGGGCCACTGCAGCACCTCATAGTGATATGCCGTAGGAGGCGAGCCCGCCCAATTGCTACTCCTCCTCTTCGCGTGGATCCATAGATCCAAGCTCCTCTTCTCCATGAACTCGTACACCAGAAGCTTGCAGTCTGAGCTGGACATCCCACACAATAGTTTCACAATGTTGTAATGCCGTATCGTTCCCAGTATCTTCACTTCCGCTTCAAACTCCCTCTCCAAACTCTTGCAGTTCCAGATCCTCTTCACTGCAACTTTTTCGCACCCTCTACTATGCAAGGCCCCAACTAGTGCTACTTGGTAAACTATCCCCGATGCCCCTCTGCCCATCACATTGCTTTCTGTTAGGTTAGAAACAATGTTCGACTCCGTGAAGCTCAGTTTGTGGAACGGTGTGATTTTCCAATCTGGAGAGGGTCCTTCCTGTCTTCTCTTATCATTGCTCTTCCTTCCTGCAACAAACACGATGGAGAGAATGGCCACTACGACTAAGGCTGCTGCTGTGCTCACCAGAATCGCTATAACTCTCACAAATCCCGCATCTGCTTTTTGGCTTTTCTCCTTACTACAATTCCTGCTGAGGCCGAATGAACTGGGGTTGGTCGAACAAAGACCAGAGTTGTTCAAGAAGCTCTTATCAAAAGCTGCATTCTCAAGCTCTGCCGGGATTGCCCCCGAGAGGTTATTTGATGATAAGTTGAGTGAAGTTAGCCTCAAGTGACGGCCTATTTCTGGGGGGATTTCTCCAGAGAATTGGTTTCCAGAGAGGTCTAGTTCATTAAGGTTTAGCAGGCGACCGAGTGCTGACGGGATTTCCCCAGAAAGATGGTTCCCGTTGCATTTCAAGGAGGTGAGCGACTTCCATGAGATTATTTCTGATGGGAAACTCCCGGAAAGCTGGTTCCCATCCACCCAAAGAACTGATAACTGTTCCAGCACTGTCAGTTCGTTTGGGATTCCGCCACTAAACAGGTTATAGCCGGCCTTGAAGCTGACCAGATTGCTCCAGCTAGAAACTCCAGCCGGAATTTCACCTGAAAATCGGTTGTTGCCCATTTCCACTAGAGACAAGTTTGGCCCAACCTTTTCTGCTGGAAGCTCACCAATAAATAAATTATCACTGACCATCAATTTCTCCAGATTCCTAGCTGTCCACAAACCATCTGGGATCCTACCAGAAAGCTGGTTCTTTTCCACTCTGAAGCTAATCAGAGAATCGCTGCAATCCCCAAGAGATTTTGGAATCTCACCTGTGAGATTGTTCTGGAAAGCAATGAAGCTCTCCAACACCTTGTTATCACACAACCCCTCCGGCAGTGAACCCACAAGATTGTTTGTGGAGACATCTAATCTTTGAAGCTTCGAAAATCTACCAAACTCTGGTGGAATTTTCCCTGAAAGGTTGTTCATGAACAGCCTGACATCCCCCAGCGCTGGTAATCTCCCTATGCTTCCTGGAATCTCGCCGGTCAATTGATTCATGAACAAAAACAAGCCTTCCAACTTTGTGAGCTTCCCGAAACCTTGGGGAATTTCGCCTGTCAAACTGTTATTGGACAAATCAATCCAATTCAAATTGAAAGCCTCAACTGCCTGAGGAATATGACCTGACAATCTGTTAGCCGTCAGATAAACTGTGGTAAGGTTTTTCATCAGAAACATGCCGCTAGGAATGTTACCGCTCAAACCATTCCCAGACAAATCCAAATATTCCAAAGCTGGCGTAGTGGTGTTGCTGAATAAGTTCTCTGGAATTTCTCCCACCAGGTTCGAATTCCTGATCCAAAGGTTCCTCAGCTTGTTCAAATTTGTGAAACTTGATGGGATGGGCTGAGGTGAAAAAGGGTTATCGTTCAAATCCAGGACTTGTAGATTCAGCAGGTCACCGATTTCGGGCGGGAAAGAGGCGCTGCTGAAGAAGGACATGGCTAGGCGAAGCTCTTTTAGCTGTTGCAGTGCTCCTATGGCTGGCGGGATGCAACCGGCGAAGGAGTTGGCGGAGAGGTTGAAGACCTTGAGTTGGGGCGAGAGGCTGTTAATGTCAGCGGGGATGGAGCCATTGAAGAAGTTGAAGGACAGGTCCAGGAACTGGAGATTGGAACAGTTGTAGAGGGATATTGGGAAAGGCCCGGAGAAGAAGTTGTGGTTGAGATCAACAAGTGTGAGGCTTCTGAGGTCGCACATGAACGGTGGGAGGGTTTGGTTGAGCTTGAGGTCGACCAGGCGGATCCCGGTGACGGAGCCATCCACGCAGGTGACCTCCGGCCAGTTACAGTGGTCCAGCGCAGATGAAGTCCAGTGAGAGAGGAGGGTGGGGTTGGAGAAATGCTGTTTAATGTGCAGTAAAATGGGTCTTTCCGGGTTGGTGCTGGTCTGCAGGGTGTTTCCATGAAAGGGCAAAGCGAGGAGCACAACTGCAAGCGTAAGGAGGATTGGGGATGGTAGGCGTTTGGACATTTTTTGTGGATCACGCATGAGCTATGGAGGCCGGTTGCCGCAATGGAGCTACGGACGGAATTCAACTATGGTTATGGAAGAAATCAGAATGTGAATGAGTCGTAGTGCCCGCCCGCCCGCAGCATTTGAATGAACGCCGCCCGCCTTCATCAATTTCCTATATAGTACAAACATGCTACTCACGCGGGCCAACTTTGAATTCAATGCTATACTTCGTCTACGACTCTAAGACAAATCTTAAGCTCTCATCGGTCTTCTAAAAGGCCGCAAAAGAGGCGGTCTAAAAACAAACGGAATACTGGATATACGAGATAAAAAGAAATTGATCGAATATTTTGTTACAAATTTATTCCATACTTGAAGTGTTATTAAATCAATCAATGATCATGTTATGAAAAAAACATTACAATTTCCTACTTTATCTAAAAAACTGATTAAACCCCAATTGCTTTAGGTGGGAAGATTGCAAAATAAATTGGCCACCCAATTGCTTTATATATAATATAAAGATAAAGATATAATATAAAGATGAGACTCTTTTCACGGACGGAGGTAGTATATATTACTGATGGAGTATATGGCCCAAGAACCCCCAGCTCATAGACTCCCACTACTATAGCAGAGGCCCAATAGGCCCAGGAAGCACAGCAGGCCCAAATCACAACGCCCCAAGTGCCAAACAACCCACGGCGAACACTGGGATGCCTTCGGCCCCCTGGTCGAAGGCTCATAAGCTTACAGCACAGCTTCTTTTAAGCACTCAAATTGTCTGGGAGAAAGCGGTGAAAACAGTAGCCCTCGACACCTAGAGGCCCTCGAGATGAAGAGCCTTCGGCCAATCATCTACGGCCGAAGGCATCTCCTCGACAGAATCTCCCACCCACCTGCGCCGGATCAACGTACCGAGTACAAACGTCACATCCAACCATCGCATTTAATGCGGTTACATGCGAGTGTCAGTGTCACCTCGTTGAGGTGACCCCTCGACCACAAGAATGATGACACGTGTCCCTATCTGGCATTTATTACTACTATAAATAGTACCCCTTTCTCGTTTGTAATTCATGCTCAATACGCTCAACACATTCTCAGCATTATATATTCTCTCTCTTACTTTTGCTCTGACTTCTCTCTAGTTACTCCCCGCAGTAACCCCTCGGATAGATACCCCCCGGGACACTTATCCATCATTTGGTGCTCTCGTTGAGAGATCAAACAATCAAGTAAGAAACCCTCCCCTTCAGCTAAAAACACCTACTAAAATGGGAAGAACCTCCCGTGCTCAGTCCAAGAACCTTGAGGACAACAACCTGGCCCTCGGTGAAGTCAACGCCCCCGGAGCCTCTTACAAGGCTCCCGAGGGCGGGGTCATCACTGAGTTGGAACAGGCTGCTGTTGACCTGCGCCTTCAGCTCCAGCAAAACGCTCCCGATGCCTACCTTGGCATCGAAACCTGAAGGAAGGACCGGAGCGAAAATCAAGTGAGCCCTCCGGTTCTCACTATCGACGTACAGTCGGCATTCTCTGCCTTCATCCACACACTCACTCAAAACCCAGGTGCCTTCGACACTCTAGTACCCCTTCAACCGCAAATCGGGGAGAACGTTGTTCTTCTCCCACGGCCACCCCCCTTCATGAACCCTACCCCCCGGGTGGGGAACGACGAAGGGGTCGTGGCTCAAGACACCGCTTCCCAGGAGGTCCAATCCCAGGACCAACGCGGTGCGAACAAAGAAAGGCCTCGGACCTCAGCCCTCGAGAGGCTCGGAGGAGCGCAAGACCGCCGAGGGGTCCAAGATCGCCTCAGTGGAAAGGCGTCCCAAAGACCAGAAGAGAGCAGGGGATCCGTCTCAAGGGCAGACGAGAGGCTTCCCCATCAGGACAAAGGCAAGGCACCACTTCATGCCGATGACGCAAGGCATCAAATCAATCAGGCCCACTCGGCCTGTGTTCGTTCGCAGGGGGCGGAGGCCCCCCCGAAGGATCCCCGGGACGAGATCATTGCGGCCCTCCAGCGCCGGCTTGACGAGATGGAGGCCCATCGAGCACATACCATCGTCGCCACCCCTCATGCAGATCCAAAATATGAGGCCATGCTGGCCAAAATGGAGGAAATGCAAAAGAAAATAGCCGAAGGCTCCGGGGAACCCGTCATCCAACTCCGGACCAGGACGTCATTTACCCCAAGGGTATTGAGGGCCCGAATTCCTAAAAAATACCGGGGGCAGCCCATCAGGCCCTATGAAGGAAAGACGGACCCTCAGGAACATTACAGCCGCTACCAAAACATCATGATGATGGTGGGGGCATCGGACGAATATTTGTGCCGTTGGTTCCTCTCCACCTTGGAGGGACCGGCGTACGAATGGTTCAACCGACTGCCCTAAGGTTGCATCGATTCATGGCAAGAACTCGCCCAACGCTTCTTGACGCAGTTTGCAGGAAGGCGCCGGTCAAGAAAACATTTCTCCCACTTGCTAACAGTGAGACAAAAGAAGGAGGAGACCCTTCGGGACTTCTTGGAACGTTGGAGAACGGAGGCTGATAAAGTTGACGGCGCCGACGATGGGACCCTCCTTGCCCTACTTCAAACAGTCCTCCGCCTCGGGAATTTTTCAAGGAGCCTCATCATCGAGCCTCCCGCGATTACATAAGGGCCCTGCAGCGGTGGACCGGTACACCGAGGCCGAGGAGGTGGAAAAGTGCCATCACAACCCCAATCAGCAACACCCTCGGCCAGATGACAAGGGCAACCGGGGGCCGGGGCCTCCCCATAATCAATCCAAGGTTTCGGCACCCCCAAGTGATCTCCCCCGGCATGGCCAAGCCAAGCCCGGGGGAGGTTACAAGGGAAACCCGAAGGCTTGGGCCCAGCCCATTCTTTTGGAGCACCCTCAGACTCCCTGGACACACCCCGTCAGTGTCATCCTAGACTTCAACGAGGAGAGGAGCCTTGTGGAGCGCGACTCTCGTGCACCCCTGGAGGTATACGCCATCAACCCCAATTATCCTTATTGTCGGTTCCACCGCAACCAAGGGCACAGCACCGACGACTGCCATCAGTTGAAGACGGCCATTGAAAGGTTGATACAGGCAGGAAACGCTTGGGTTAACCCAAACACCATCCCCCTAGGCGACCCGAAGGGTAAGAAAAGGGATATTGGAAACCTCGATGAGGAGGAAGAATACAGCCAGAACCAGGAAAAGAAGCGTCACATCCATATGATCACTGGAGGTAACACAGGGGGGGACTCCACCAGCCAGCGAAAGAAGTGGGCTCAATCGCTATACGTGGGGGAAGTCACTCGTTTGCCCCCGGTAAAGCGGCTGAGGGAGGAACCCATCACCTTCACTTTGTCCTCACTCGTGTGCGCCCTGATAAACTTCCCAGGGGGTCACCCATCCCAAGACTACTCCCGTGCAAGCACGCTTAACTTTGGAGTTCTTTGGTGATGAGCTCCCTTAAAAGGAGATGCACCTCTGTTGGTATGAGTAGTACTATTAATCCTCTTAAATTAATCTTGGGTATTACAATCACCCCCACTTTGGATCGCAACGTCCTCGTTGCGCCCTTAACTATCTCAATCAAACCCCAGAATCTTGCCCCGCTAAGTGCCCGCCCGATATCCAACGGGTCAGCACATTGTCGTAGGGTTGCTCTGATACCAACTTGTAACACCCCGAGGCCCCACATGGATCCGAGGTAGTTACTCTAGATCTCAAGTATTGTCCCCACAAACCACCACGAGCCTTTACCGCGCACTTTGTCCTCACTCATGCGCGTCCTGATAAACTTCCCAGGGGGTCACCCATCCCAAGACTACTCCCGTGCAAGCACGCTTAACTTTGGAGTTCTTGGGTGATGAGCTCCCTTCAAAGGAGATGCACCTCTGTTGGTATGAGTAGTACCATTAATCCTCTTAAATTAATCTTGGGTATTACAAGCTCCGTCAATGTGATGTACCTCAGCACATTGAGAGAGCTGCATCTGGAGAGGGGGTCCCTTCGGCCCATCAAGACCCCTCTCGCCGGCTTCACCGGAGACACCATTGATTCCGAGGGGGTCATTACCCTCCCGGTACTATTCGGCGACGGGCTCCATAGAGCCAAGCTCGAAGTGGAGTTCGTCGTCATCAACATCGACTGCGCCCACAACAGCATCCTCGGCAGACCAACCCTCGAGGACCTCGAAGCCATCATTTCCATGAGGCATCTGTGCCTCAAGTTCCCCGCTGAAGGGGGCATCGAGTACTCAAGGGGGAATCAAAAACTTGCCCGCGCTTGCTACCTTCAAGTGACAAAGAAGGTTAGTAAGACCAAGTTCCGTGTTGACACCATCACCGGAACTGTGGAGGAAGAAGAGAAAAGGCCGAGGGCTGAGCCCGCCGAGGAAGTAGAAGACTTCGCACTCGATCCGGCCAAGCCGGAGAGAGTTATGAAGATTGGAGCCAAGCTCCCCGAAGACCTGAAGACCGGCATAACTGAGGCCCTCCGCGCCTACTCCATTGTTTTTGCGTGGGGGCCGGAGGACATGCCCGGAATCAGCCGAAGGGTCATCACCCACCGCCTCTCGGTGGACCCTTCGGTCAAACCTATACAACAGCGAAAGAGACCCCTCTCGGCCGAGAGAAGGGATTTTGTGAAGAAGGAGGTCGTCATGCTCCTCTCCATCAAGCACATCAAGGAGGTAAAATACCCCTCATGGTTGGCTAACGTAGTCCTCGCACAAAAGCCACCTACCTTCCGCATGTGCGTGGACTACACTGATTTAAACAAGGCGTGCCCCATGGACCCCTTCCCCTTGCCAAATATTGATCAACTGATGGATGAGACCGCGGGGTGCGAGATCATGTCCTTCCTCGATGCCTTTCGAGGATATCACCAAATTTTAATGCACGAGGAAGACGCTGAAAAAACAGCCTTCATGACTCCCGAGGGCGTCTTCTGCTACCTTGTCATGGCCTTCGGCCTTAAGAACTCAGGTGCCACTTACACCCGGATGGTGGCCAGGGTCTTTCAGGCTGTCCTAGGGCGCACCATGGAGGCCTATGTTGACGACATGATCGTCAAAAGCAAACAATCATCGAGCCATGCTGACGACCTCCGGGAGATCTTCGCCATCATGCAAAAGTTCAACCTTCGACTAAACCCGAAGAAATGCACCTTCGACGTGCAAGGAGGCAAGTTTTTAGGCTACATGGTGAGCCGAAGGGGGATTGAGGCCAACCCCGAGAAAATCCAGGCCATCATCCCAACATGGAGCCCCCACGCAACGTGAAGGAAGTCCAACGATTGACGGGCCGCCTGGCAGCCCTCAACCGCTTCCTATCCAAATCGGCGGAGAAGTCCCTACCCTTCTTCCAGATCATGATGAAGACCGCCGGCTTTCAATGGACCTCATAGTACCAGGAGGCCTTCGACAAGCTGAAACGATATTCATCTTCACCCCCTGTGCTCTCCAAACCCAAGGTAGGGG